AACTCGACCGCTCCATCTATGGAGTACCTAGACCTGCAGAAGACACCACGCGTTGGACCGGCCAGATGGATGGGGCAAAACTAAGCACCCTAAGGTAAGGTAAGCAAGCACCTCATGGCCAAGTCTTGCCTGCCGGCTTCAACTCCGCTGAGCAAGTTCTAACGAATCACGTCTAACACAAAAGATGGACCCTGAGATACCGGAGGCCGCTTGTGGCAAGGGCTTGGCGCCTTTCCATTTCCATGTCCATCATCTTCTCTCAACATTGTCCGACATGTTCAACATCCAGGGTGACGGGCCTCAAACTAAGGTAAACTACTACTTTACTACTGCTACTTCGACAGCCTGACAGGTAGCATTTCTGCCCGCGCTAGGTCCTGCTCGCCCTCGTTGGTCGAGTCAAAACCCCACCACAGTTACCAAGGAGCTATTCTTGTCGTCATTTCCGGCCATCACCGTTGCATCGTGACACCAATCGACAAGCCCTGAATCCTCCAGTCGATCAGGCACAGCAAATATTCATGATTACTGATGTCTAGGCGCAAAGAAGCATTCGCATCGCAGTGCTATTCGTTGCCTCATGTCCACCTATCATCTCCCTCGTCAATTGCCACCAATCTACTGACTACTTGCAATCCATAGAACAGGGACAGGCTCATTCAACTTCTGGGTCCATATCTCTCGTGGTGCGTGTATGCCTAACATTACAGGACAATGTTAACTATGCAAATCGTCTTCTGGACGACTCTGCTCCCCGTCAAAGAGACACCATCTCCTTGAGACCTCCGAGTATCTGGCATGTGGCCCAATGGCAACTCCGCTACGAATCTCGACTTTATTTTGCGCTCTCTAGGGCCCACCCAAACGGATGTCTTGCAGCAGCCAGAATCTATCTTTGAATGGTGCCGTCGACGGAAGGGGAACCGTCACTTAAACCCAAGAACCGGGAAAATAGGGTGTTCAGGATATCACGGTTGACGATCCGTGGCTTGCCGCCAATGACACGACTGGATTCTTCCCCATTCAAGCTTATCCTCTCAGGCGGCTGTTGAGCATTCCGGATCTGTCGTTCGTTCCCCGTTGAAAGTCAGACATCCCACCCTGCCCTCTCAGACTTCGCCCCCAGACCCGGCACACATGGGGGCGAATGACGCTCCAGCCCGACTAGGAAAAGCAAACATGACATCCAGGGCCATTGCTGCCTTCGGCTACAGCCACGATCAACTTGAACCTGTATTCCTACCGTTGCACTGGGACCAGCATCGACCAAAAGTTCCGACTTCCAACTCCGTACCTCAAGTGATGATCCCAGTCTATCTTGGAGCCCTTTCCTTCAACGTACCGCGACAGCCGAAGAATAAGACGCGCGAGCTTTTACGGAGTCATCGTGCACGGCGCAGGGGCTATATCACTGGCCGAGATCACGTAGGAATCGAGTCCATATTACCAAGACCCTCTGTTCTGATGGCTTTCTAGCGTCCAAACCCCCAATTTTCCGTCGAGCCTGTCGGTCAGGGTCCACCGACGGACGCGTACTTTTGGGGTCACGGGTGGCTTTTCGCATGGGGAGCTCGCTTACTCCGGTTTTGTCTCTCCCTCGGTAGTCTTGAGCCGCAAGAGCTCAGTTGACCAGAAAGCAATCGTCCAAGCTTTTACAGCTAATCAAACCCACAGGTGGAATGTGTTGATCATCCTTGGTAGCTCAGATTCCTCTTGGTCGGAACAACGCTTAAACCTGGGTTCTGCATGTACGTCGATTGGCTGCGCAGAGACAAGCAAGATCTCACGACAGTCAAGTAAATCGGAGTACCCGTTTGGTCAGCTGTGTTGCCTCCTCATTATGCCTAGTGGCTTGGGGTCCGGTCTGGCCTCTTCCTGGACGATACCCCTACCACCTCAGCAGGAGACCTCGCAATCCTTGCTCTTCCCCTCTGTCGGACCAGTCTCGGCCAAGGAAAGTCATCCTCCACCCGTCTTTCAAATATTTTCAGGCTGTCTGTGATTTGTCGGCCCGTTGCGCTTTCTTTTACTGCAGCAACATGCCAGGCCTAGAAGCCCTTGGTGCGGCCTCGCCAGCTGATGCTCTTGTTCACATCCCCTCAAGTCTTTCTGATGAAACCAGCATCAGCTAAGGCTCTAAACCCCCACAGTCTTTTGCATATGATAGATGCCCAACCTCCTAAGACATATGATTAACCTTTCGTCGTATGCTCCTAGAAGAGAAATTCCAACTCCTGTTCCGCGATCCACGATCACCATCGATCACTCGGAAGGCACAGTTCCCCATATTTCGAAAGTGCGTCCTTTTCGTCGTCTACCCGCACAATAGCCAATGGAAGCGGTTAGTGACCTTTTGGTTCCAAAAGAGCTCGGCGTGGAGCTCTACAGGGCAACATTCTCCCCCAGCGGATGGACAACTTACCAACCCCTTCCACACAGGAAAAGGAGAGGAACCGTATCCGGGATAACCAGCGCCGGTCGAGGGCTCGGAAGAAAGAATACGTTCAAGAGATCGAGCAACGTCTTCGGCAATGCCAACTCCAAGGAGTCGAAGCTTCTGCTGAAGTACAGCAAGCGGCACGCCGAGTTGCAGATGAGAACCACAAGCTTCGGCAACTCCTTCAACATGTAGGCTATGGAGACGAAGTCGTTGAACAGTACATTCAAACCGGCAAACTCGGTTCTCCAAGTCATCGCGGCCTGCATGTTCCAAACTCAAGCGGCAACTTGATCCCTGAGAAAGCGACAGAAACGTTGGAGGGTCTTTTGGTTCCACGGCGACCATCATGCCTCGATATTCAGATGCCGATTCTACCAACAAGCAGGAACACAAGCCCGGACCGAACCCTTTCATACGGTCCTACGCCAGACTCGCCTGTCGAAGAATATGGTTCTCCATCGGAATCTGTCCATCAAATCCATGGTTCGGCGGTTGTTTCACCGACAGACTTTGGCTCTCAGCAGGTCTATGCTCGCGCCGGCGACATGAAAAACCGAGATTACGCAGGCCATCACCATAGCACACTGACGGTCGACTGGGCAAACACCCACCAAAATCAGTCAACCCATGGTATTTCATCAAATGTTCAGGGATTCGGGGCGAATCAGGCGCTCGAATATCACCCGCCATTTCCGGGCATTAATCCTTCAGCAGGCATGCTGCCCCCAACATGCGGCGGACCGCCATCCGTGCCGTACACTTCGTTCCAGACTTTTCATCCCCAGCCGGCGTTCATCGCAGCTTCTACTAGTCATATCAGACACGTCCCCGTCGCCGAAGGGGATCCTGCTATGGAAGATCGCAAACCCCAGTATAGACACCCAGAAGATCATTCCTGGTCTTCATCAGACCCCTTTGTCAGATCGCAATACAATACCCGACACAACTGAAGCGGATTCGAGCGTTTTTCTTTGTGAACCTCGACGCAGTTTTAGACCCTTCGAAACAAGGCTTTCCATGCCGCAGACGAAATCAAAAACTACAATGGAGAATGGTTGTGATGAAGTCAGCCACAAGGGCTGAGCCCCATTGGAAATCCGAAGGAATATTCAGCCGAACAATTTGGCCGGGAAACTATTCTTGAACGGAGAACTTGAATGGCAGCTCGCGGTGCCTTGCCACTCCTTCTTTGGAGTCGTACATGGGTTTGGCCGCTGTACACAATCAAGCACAGACGAGGTTGGTCAAAGGAAATCAGTCTTATTGTTCCCTACCCATGTCACGGAGGCTAATGGGAAGCAAATGAAGCACAAAGGTAACGGAAGCTCCTGGCCTTTGGTAAGTGCTGAAAACGTTGTGTTCTCTAGGGATCAAGACCAAGACTCTTCATCCCTGTTGCAACGTTCTTTGTATGAAGCATGCGCATGGAGCAGCTGGATACGGGGCATACCGGCACCCGTTGAGCCAGCTTTTCGCCAGCCGTGGAGGTCGAATGCTCCCAGAAAAGGGCTCACGGGACACAAGATGGAGGAGTTGATAAGAATTGTCTTTAATGAATCTAATGCCCACGGTTACCACTCAATTCTCTTGTTTTCATTTTCCCTCCAACAAAGTCAATTCTGTGTGCCTACTCGACGAAACTTCATCCACATCCTGCCCCTTTTTACATTCTTACCAAAATTCTAGATCATTTGAAGCTTCAATGTCAGAACACTATAGTCAAGAGAGGGTGGATTTGGTAGCAATATTGGCTACATCACAGCGAATCGAGTTTGAGAGATGCCTTGCGGAAATCAAAGGGCGTAATGGGGGTAACAGCTACGACACGTTGGAAGTTCTCCAGCGTCTGGCTATCGAAGCCGAGGCCGCCAGCAGCATTCTGTCAAGTCTTCAGACAGAGAATATCGGGGGCGCATATGATACCATACATCGCATGCTTGTGCAGCAGACTCTACTGATCAAGACGCAGCTTCTGGAGGTTGCGGGAGAGATGGGAAAAGCGTTCCTACCGACGCCAATGTCTAACCCACGGTTGCCGCAACAATCGAATAATCAACAGCAACAGCAACAGCAGGAGGAAGACGAAGGGGAACACCAAAAACCGCCGTCTCCTTTACCAAGACCTCCCAGACCGCCAAAAATAAAACTACAATTCAATCAACTCCCCTCATCTAGACGACTTTCTGATACTACGCCGACGCTGGACGCAATGGACCAGTCCAATGCCCCTGAGAAGCAAAAGTCTCAGACCCGTGAGATCAAAGGGTTCCCTCCTCGGATCACCAGAAACTGGCGTAAACCTACCAAGTCCTCACGCCCACGCCTTCTTCAAGTGCCAGCTGAAAGTGGAAGAAAAGATAATGAGCCAACTGGACCGAGGGGAACGAATCAAGGAGGGAGCGTCCGTCGTCGTGATCAGACTAGTGTAAGTCATTCCTACCCGAGAAGAGTCAAGCTGTGGCCCACCGCAAGTAACAAACTCTCGCCTCCAGCGCTGGTAGATCTCTTCGTGGAAGTGAAAGAAGAGCGTGAACCCCTGAGCGGCCGGAGATCGGGGGAAATGAGCGGTGCGGTATGCCTTCACAAACAGCGGGGCGAGCAGGAAGAGAGAATCGAGCTGGCTAACGTGGAAAAGTGGACGAGTGATCTCAAGTTTGAGACGGAGAGTAAGGGCGAGGGCGGGTCGAAGATGGAGGTGGAGATGGGAGCTGCAACTAAAGCAGGGGACCAAGGGGAAGGGGGAGAGAAACGCAGCAGGAAGAGGTCTGCGGACAACGACTTGCCCCCGACGACAATTAAGAAATCTCGCTCTGAGCTTCGGGGAGGACAGGGCGGTAGTCCAGGGCGTATCAAGAGGTTCATAAGCTTCCTCCACCCCTTTCGGAGAAGACGGACTAAGTCAAAGAAAAGCAGAGATGCCGAACCGACGACAGCTGTACCGAGCACAGAGGACTTACCGCGGCCAGCAGTAGAGTGCTACATTTTCGCAGAAGCTCTCAACCCAAGAACCTTATTCGGCACCGGAAAAGAGGACGTGAGGGCCCTCCACTTCCGCGACGCCATTGAAGAACTCATCCAGCTCGTCGAAGACGCGCCGCACGCAATCACCTCCACGGACCCCCTCATGCGCGAATACCACACAAAGCAATTCAAAGAGATACAGGCCGTCCTCCGCAAAATCCCATCCATTGCCATTTCAAAGAAAATCATCGACGAAAAGCTCCTGGCGATCCGGAAAGAGGAGACGGCGATTCGGAAGGGGTACATTCGACATCTCAGGGGGCTGAAGGGGAAGGAGGCCAGAACGGAGCGTAGACAGCAGCTAGTGCGGGAGACGCAGGTTCTGCACCGCCAACTGCGGACCTGCAATGAGCTGAATGACAAGATTTTTGCGTTTGGGGCAGAGGGTGCGGCGATATTTGCCGACTGGATCGTGGAGATGAAGAAGCGCGTCGAGGGGGAACTCGAGTTTGGGGAGAGGGCGATGATGGTGCCGTATTTGGGCGAGGTTCAGGAACATGGCCAGGAGGTCTATTACGTGTGAAGACGAGTCGCAAGCTAAGTTTCCGGCTCATAAAGGGCTCGGAAAGAGGGGGAAGATGTATACACCAGAGACGATGTGCGTCGCGTCAGGGACGTTGGCTGAGATAGATATCACAGAAGCGTTTGGTTTGGCCTGTTCAACGAATATTAAAAGAGAATGCATTGCTCGCGCCGAGCCTTCTTAACTCCAGTGACCGTTCATCGACCCCTGTACATACACGATCAGGGGGAAAACACGTAAATTTTACCCAGTAGCGCAAACCATTCCGTTGTGTCTTTTTTCGCTATTTTCACTTTTAAATATTTTGTGCCGTTTTGAAACAATAAAAACGCTTTGGTATCATCATTATACCGGGAAGATCTCTTGCCTCCCCTGGGAGAGTTGAGTCCATAACCGAACTACCTTACCCTTTACAAAAAGTAGTCCGCCACAGGCTTCTTGGCAGGCATGCCCCTAGAATCCTGCGGCGCGGCTTGGAACACGCGGTACCTCCTCGCGGGCCCGGGGAGGAGCACCTGGTCATCGGTGCCCCGAATATTGCCGTCGCTGCGTCCCCTGTCACCGTTGCTGCGCGCAAACACGCCCGTACCCGAATCGTCCTCGGCCAGCTCGAGGATGGCCGCCACGTTGCCACAGCGGTAGCAGTAATTCGGCGCCGACCACACCGTCACGATGCTGGCGTCGAACATTTCCTTAAACCCTTCCATGACCAGCTGATGGGCGCGCGCAATGAGCGACAGGTCGTTCTTGTGGTTGAAGTCGCGGACGATATCGGCGCCGAAGAGGAAGCCCGCGCCGCGCGGCGACAGGCCCCAGCCGTCGATCTCGTCCGGATCGGACCAGAGCAGATCGCACATGGCGCCCTCGTGAGGGACTTCCTGCTTTCTGTCCAATAGCCGGATCTTATCCACGCTGTCTATCAGCGGGGATAGACCCCCGTGAACGCAGAGAATCGCTCCGGCGGGGTTGCCTATGGAACCTGACGAGCTTCCTGATGCGCCGCTGCCTGGCGGGCCTGTTTTGTCGCCGCCGGAGGAGGGGGCACCATTGGGGCTATTCGTGGGTTGCCGTTGTGGCCGTCTCTGTCGGGGGAAGCGGCTCATTGTTGAGCCGTTCTGATCGCAGACCTCGATCTCGACGTCTTCGTTGATGGGTTCCTGTCCCGGGGTTGAGTTGAATGTGTGTGATGCGCCGAGAACAATGGCGCCGAGAGCGAGGTAGTCGAATACGTCGCAGCAGTACCGCCAAACGTTGGCAGAGCCGTATTTCCTCAGGCACTCGTCGTAGAAGCCGTAGACGGTAGTGATTTGGCGGGATTCGTGGTTGCCCCTGATGAGGGTCATGCGATCGGGGTAGCGGACTTTGAGGCAGAGAAGAAGGAGGAACGATTCGAGGGAGTAGAAGCCGCGGTCGACAAAATCACCTATACAAAGGAAGCGTCAGCACATCCGAAAGATGCTCCAGGCAAGTGAAAGATCATGAGGGCATACCCATGAAGAGGTAGTTGGTATCGGGAACATCACCGCCTACTCGGAAGAGCTCCATGAGGTCGTGGAACTGGCCGTGAATGTCACCGCATATCTAGTCCAATATCAGCGTCTATTCCCCTGCACATCATAGCGTAGGAGTCTTCATAGTACCGTGACGGGGGCTGTGACCGTGACAACATTTCCTTCCTCAATGAGCAGCTCGCGCGCCTTGTGGCATAGCTCTCGGACTTGCGCTTCGGGTATCGGTCGACATGCGCGCAGTTGCGCAATAGCTCTATGCTAAGCGTCAGCGCCTCTCGGTCGCAGAAAACCCAGTTCGCGATCGTGGGTATACTCACTTGTCGAGGTCACTCATTGTGAAATTTGAGGAGGGGTTCCCTGGTCTGGGTCGCGGCGCCCGAGGCCGAGGACTCGCGATATCGAAATGGAAAGGATGGCGGGTACTCCTTCTACTTTATAGCATGTCGCGTGGGATATTCGAGTCGGCGCGATCGACGGCAGCTACCTTACGTCGTCGTAAGAATGCGGATTGAGCACTTGCGTAGGGGCGATCAAGGCTTCGAGGATGGGATGGCGTCAGTAAAGTTCAAAGAGGTGCATGGTTGCCCTCTAGCGGTCGCCGGTCGCCTGCCAACCCCCAATTCGAACTTCCAATCGCGCCGGGATCTGCAAAAAGTGGATATGTGGTCAATGCGTCTCTGTGGAGTTCTCGTTGGAGTGCATCCCGGCCCGGGGATTTGTTCAGGCTCCATCTCGGGTCTTTGGTTATTGCGGTAACCGAAGATTAGATCCTCAGGCTCGCGACCTGCAATCGCTGGCTACCTAGCATGTCACGTCGCCCAGGGTGGGCCCACTCCGGGCCGCCGGAATCCAATCAGAAGGCCTGCATATCAGTTCGGGTCATTAAGCTTCACTGCAGGTTTGCAGGAAAATCATCCGTTGGCCATCGTCACTGTGAACCTCAAGCCTTCATTTAGGGGACTACATTCGGATTTGTCGCCCCGTCGCGCGAGCATGGTGCTGTCATAGGTGAGTCTTTTCGATCAATTGGGTCATTTCAATGATCTTCAACGTCGCTAATGTCCAATGGCACGCAGAAGTTCAAAGCCTCCTTTCCCGAACACCAAAAAAAAAAAAAAGCCGCGATCATGCCACCACACCCCCTCCACCCGAGGTCGCGCATGACCTCGTCACTCTTTGCAACCACGGTCGTCGCAAGCTTCTTTGTAGTAGGCATGCCGCATCTGTTACCGTGTCCGGCGCCTAGAGTCACATACGCCGATGGAGAGATAGTGGTGGGCGAGGACGGCCGCCGTCGGAGGCGCCGCCGTCGCGAGGCAGCCCCCGAGATCAACGACGGAGTCGTCAGCTTCAATCAAATGGGCGACGAGGAAACGATACGAGCACGAGAGGAGCGATTGAGGAGGGAGTGTCCAGTACCGAAACCTGGTGGCATCTTGGGCGAGTGGTTGGGATTCCACGGGCCGAGCAAAGCAGAAGATAGCAGAGTGGGAAGGTGACGACGGCAGATGAACATATGTACAACTCAAAGATACCATTTACGATCAACAATTGTGGTCCCAGCGACATTGGATGTGTGATGACGATAGACGAAGTACCACGCAGGAGATGGACAACGTGACGAGCATACAATCACTCAGCAAGCAATCACTCTGCCGAATTAAGAAGAGATGCGTTGAGGACACTCGCTTGGGCCAGAAAAAAAAAAAGAGTTCACCCCCCCGGTGCTGAATTGGGGGCTACGTCTCTGGGTGCTCATGCTGGGATTCGAACTCGGGTACTCGCTAAGCCTGTCGTCGAGTAGGCTGGTTGGCGTTTTGATTGTTGACCTTAGACCACGCCACCACCCAGCCAGTTTGACCTGACCCCCGACCTAGAGGGCGCCTACTGGCTGGTGACAGGAATGGAATTGAGGGGGTCTATATGGGCTCGCTCTTGTGGTATATTCCGTAAAGCTAGGATGAATATTCATACATAGGATGATTCACTGAAGGTGGCTGATGCGCCGCGAAGAGTTTAGCAACAAGGACCCGAATTAGGAAGCAACGGTAATCAAAATTATTCTGAATCCTCTAGAATACCGCAGGATCTCAAGAGTCCTTGCTCAAGTGGCCCCAGCCTTCCCACAGATGCCGAAGTTGTTGACTCAAGTGGCGTGTTCGACGATATCTCAAGCGTTCAGTTGACAGTCTTGGGTTCTCGAACTCAGGTTGCAACATCTGCTGCCGCACTTTCAATAACGCCAATGGACGCCAATCGGCGACCAGTATGCCGCATACACTCTCTTGGGCTACGTCGAGACAGATGGTGGCAGAGGACCTCAGACACAGAGGTACTTTGGACCCTATCCGGGTAGCCAAATGACGATTCAACTTCAAGTCACGGACTCGATAAGCAATCCATCGTGCACGATGTTCAGTGGCCAAAGTAGTTTGTGATGTTGGAAGTCACGCACACCATGATATACCTATAATACCAATACTAGGGGGCTGTTGGTCGGGGCTTGCCAAGTCTAAATAAGCTGTCATCCCTAAAAACAAGGTTATTTTGGAATTTACTGCGCCTGAAACCTAGGTGCAGACCGCCCTTGCAGAGTTGCATCCTCTTAATCCTTGCGAGCTTCGACCAAGAAAACGGCTGGGGATGGGCCAAGCGGGTTGCACTTGGTGAGAACAGACGAGTGTATTGTGAAAAAAGATGAGTGCCTGGCTCGAGATTTCGATTTTTAAGTGCTCCAGCCAGTCGCTTCCGGATTGTGAAAGTCTTCAGATTGCTATTTTCTCCGAGTCATCCTCGCTGAAGATGGTCAAGATCGCCGCTCGTCTCTTTCTCATGTTCCGTTTCGCAGTAACGTTCTCATCATACCCCTGAATTTGGTGTAAGAACTGCCGTGAGCTTATTACGTATGATCTTCCGGAAAATTATACACAGGATTCGCCTCGCCTCGCCTCAACAGTGAAGCCAATGACTGCCTACGTTGCCAGGGCGTAAAGTAGCAATGCTGAGATCTCTACCTTTTTTTTTTTCCACGGCTTTCTGGTGTTCCGTCCATGACCGGGCGATCGTGGGGGATGAGACGTCGGAAGAGACTCAGGCAAGTGATCCGTGCTGCTAGGTCACGCCCCTGCCTCCGGCCCGCAACCTTAACACCCGCTAACAATATCTGACGCAGGGAGCCCCTGATGGACGCCTTGGCGTAGAGGGACGCTGGCCAACTTTTTAGTCATTATTGTTCCCGTAAAACCACACACACATACGAACGACGACGCATATACCCTCACAAGGCTCACAGCCTCTCTTCGGGGTTAAGAATGACAAGGTTGCGTCTTCTTCAGGCATGTATGCGGGGCGGAGGTGTACCACAGGGGCGGCTTGCGGTCTGATCTCCAAAGCGCCAAGAACGGCTCTGATCAGTCGAAACAGCCGGGAGGACGAATCACGAAGAACGCCTGGAGCCTTAGGGGAGCATTCAGCAGCGCGGTTTAGACTCTGAGAGTTGGGGTGACGGGTGCCATCTGTTTTTCTACCGGGGCACGACTGAGACCGGATTCAGCACACCCATCGTATGCCGGTCTTTTGAGGGTGGGGACTTGCATCCTGCTTCGCACCTTGGAGAGGCAACTTGCAAGACGCCACCAGCCTGGCAGACCGTTGCCATGTTACGCAACCCGAAAATCCCGGATGGCATCTGTCTCATGAGCCCTGATAGATGTCATCTGATCAGCAGAGGCTCTGGGCTGGGGGAAGGGGCGCCAGCCCAACACCGGGACCTGGTCCACACGACGACTTATGCTTAATGACAGTCCGGGAAGATGTGAAGTTAAATAGACTTCGTTCCCCCGAACCAGAGTATGTTTTGTTCTTCATCCCTTCTCTCAGGACAGTGTCTTTTTTTCTACTTCAAACCTTTCAATTCTATTCTTCAAGAGCTGTGCTCTATTTCCATTCATTCTCAGCTTCTCTGTCATTCCTTGATACCCCAATTGTAAGTCGTCCTGCCATCTAAGGCTGGCTAGGAGCAACAACGCTGACTAGAATATCCAGTTTATACCGTTTTCACTTCACGACAGTCATTCCAAAATGAAGTCCTCCATGATCCTTCTCATTGCTACCGGCCTGGTGTCGGGTCTGAGCATCCCCAAGCAGCTGGACACCCGCCAGGCCGTCGCCCAGGCCCCAGCCGCAGCACCCGCAGCTGCTGCTCCTGTTGCGGCACCTGCTGCTGCTCCCGCTGCCCCTGCTGCCCCCGCCGCCGAGGCTCCCGCTGCTGCACCGCCTGCCGCTGCCCCCGCGGACGCCGCCGCCGAGGAGGCAAAGAAGAAGGCCGAAGAGGAAGCTGCCAAGAAGGCGGCCGAAGACGCCGCCAAGGCTGGCGAGGGCGCCGCCGCCGCTCCTCCAGCTGAGGCTGCCCCCCCTGCCGCCGCCCCCCCTGCCGAGGGTGCCGACGCCGCCGCTGAGGCTGCGAAGAAGGCACAGGAGGAGGCCGCCAAGAAGGCTGCAGAGGACGCTGCGAAGAAGGCACAGGAGGATGCGGCTAAGCAGGCCGAGGACAAGCAGAAGGAGGCCGCCAAGGAGGCTGCTAAGCAGGCTGAGAAGGCTATGGGAGACTACCAGAAGGGCAACAACAACAACAATGACAACAAGGGGGATAACAAGGGCAACAACAACAATGGCAACAACCGCAACAATGGAAACAACCGCAACAACAACAATAACAACAACAACAATAACGCCCTCTTGCTCCAGAACATCCAGCTCCTCCTCGCCGCCATGAACCTGCAAAACGTGGTCAACGTCCAGGCCCTCGCCCAGCTCCAGGCGCAGCAGCAGCTCGTGATGCTCGCCCAGCTTCAGCAGCTCGCCCAGCTCAACGCCGTCGGCCTTGTCAACCAGGTCCAGGTCGTCGCTCTCATGCAGCAGGGTCTCGTCCTCGGTGGCGTCCAGCTTGGCGGCGTCCAGGTTGTCAAGATCCAGTGAGCAATTGTTGCAGAAGTTCAGGGGGAAGGATATGATCTACAGGCGATGTAACTGCAAAATGTAATTGACACAATTTCACCGGGCAAGGAGCAATCATCAATCAGTGTTTAGCACCGGGGGCGCCACTGTGTTTGTTTAGATGTCTCGTGCGTTGCGGATGTGTGAGGGAACCCGCGCCGCGTGACCGGCTGGGTTTGACGTTCCTAGTGGACGGTCTCTACTGGAGATTGAGGTGATTACTGGTATGACCCTGGTAGCACTACTTGGATCTCCTCAAAGGGGTTTGGGAATGGGTGGTCCACATGACATGGGAATGGGTTATGGTGCATTATTCAACGGCTCTGCATATCAGACTAGGATTTGGCAAGTGCTTTAATGTATTTTATGAAAAAAGCATCAATGATCCACCTGCCAAAGCCTTTGAGTTTCACTTTTCTTTCGTTGTGCCCTGTCTCAGAACTTTGCTGATGTCGCGAGGGGTTCATGTCTGAGGTGGGATATCCCTGTTGAAATGCCAGGTTTGTTGACAGCAGCTTGACTTAAGCTTATTCTCGGTGAATTGTACTTTGATCAATCTGATTACTTCTGACTCAACACAATGTTTGCCATGCCATACAATGTTAGTTTTCGTTTCAGTCTTCAAATGTCCAAGTCCAATTTAGATACCTAAGTAGTAAAGGACTCAGAAAACAATTTCCCCGTCAAGAGGTCAATATGACGACTATACAAAGTCCGTTTGCTTCCTTCCTCAGTTTCTGCATCAAAAGCCGTCGGCCATGTGTGGTACCGAGATGGACTGGTCAAACGCAAATCCAACCCTCCTCTTCCCGGAAGCGCAGGGCATCCGGATTGCGGGGAAAGAGACGTTAAAAGAAAAGAAGAAGAAGAATACCGGGGGCGTGACATCTGCAGCCCTGTCCCGCGCTGATTTTCGTCAATGCCTTGGAGGGAAGATGCCTCATCGACAAAAGCCTGAGACACTTGGAGGGGTTCGGGGTTGGTGAGCCGAACAGGGGGGTTCCGATGAGGTTACGACAGTTTGACAGCAGGAAAAGGGCGGTGTTGCACTTTGCGCCCGGACCGCTTGTCACTGACGCTAGAGGTTCTGACTTGCTGGAAGAGGAGAATTGCGGGGGAAGAGCTGACCAATTGAAACCTCTGAAATCCTTGCAGGGACCGTAGAGAGATCCGAGGAAGGCGGATGGACCCCACTGACACGAGTTTAAACAGCCACTAAACCTTAGTTGAGCCGCTCCGACGTCAACGGTCATCCTCTCATCGGGTTCCTCTCTTGAAATTGTGTATCGACCACTCATCTCATTCCGAAGAATGAAAGGGAATACAATGCTTTCATCCCTAATCCGTTGATCAATGTCACCCTGACCCAACGCATCGCCGGCGAGCCGGCTCGGCAGTCTCCTAAGGCAGAGCCGAAAATCCTGACGCGAGTGCGACGAGCCCAACTTCATTCATCCCGTCTTGAGCTGTCAGAGACCCCAGCGGGCCCAGCCTTAGGATGACCCATCGGACCTCCCATCACCCGGCCAAGAAGTATAGGCCATCGCGGCTTACGCAAGTCTTTTCGGATGACACAACTGTCATCGCAGTGTCGTCCCAACTTGCAAGTGTCTGTCTGACTGCTACCACACCACCACCCCTTGTTTTTGCCCAGTCTCTCTCTCTCTCTCGCATTATCGCCGCACATTCCCAACACCACCCTCACAAAACCTCTGATCAAACCAGCGCTCCCTTTTCATCGCTGCTTCTCATCATCAGACCCAACGAAACAGATTTTGGCTCGGTTCTGTATGTACATCTCATAGTCTATTCCAGTTTCCGTCCCCCCGACCCCTCCCCCTGCTTGCCTTCTCTCTCTCAAAATCCGCGGGAAGAAAATTCGCTGGAAGGTCCATGTACCGGCTTGGCGATGGCTAGGACGAAAATTTCCATGTTACCATTGCCGTCGGCCGAGTAGCCGCAGGACCCGCCAAGTAAGGTTATTTGAGCACTGCCTTGCGTTGCTTGGCATACGGAAACCTCAATGACCTTGCCTTGATTCGTTTCCTTGCCGTTGACTTTGATCACTCGACTTCGTCATGGCCAAAGTTCCTACAACTACACATTCTTGCTCAGTCTATCTGTTTTTTTAAACAGTAACGCTTATCTACAGAGATCGTTTACGGAAATAAAAGACCCCCAAAGAATACCTGAACGGGCGTGTACGATAATGTCGCTTTCATGGTCACTGGCTCGTGTTGGCTGAAATCACTAGCCATCACGAGAGAAGTCGTAAGATCATGCCAAGGGTGGCATCGCTTCCGTCATCCGAAGAAACGTCCGCTACTCCATACTATTCACGTCCCACCATGGCTCCTAGTCTCAATGTGCCCCCCTGTCAACCCGCTTGATCCAACATTATTCCGTACCAACGATATCGAGACTCTGATACGCATCGGATCACTCGTTCACGACTCTTCCGAGCGCAAATCGTACCTTAATTCGCACTTGGCAATGGCCCAAACGCCTTATGCCTTGCTGAAGAGTTCAGACGTCGACGTATAGCACTCTTGGCTCCAAGTATCTTGGCTTCTGCTCTCGTCGACATATAAGCCACCCGTCCCGCCGCGAGCAGTAGACATTCTTCTTTCTTCTCCATCCACACGTACCAAAGTCTTTTCATCCATTCCGATCTCACTCATTCCCTTCATTCATTCTCTTCAGAGGTGAGTCCTGTATCAAGACCAGATAAAAAAGGATGCCATACTAACGAATAGCCAGCTGTGCTCGTTGTTATCTTCACTCCTTTCAGGTCGCTTACAAAAACAAACCACTCTTTACAGGAACATCAAGAGCTGTGCTCTCTTCATACATAATACATTTTTAATAAACCCCCAATCCACCAAGCCCAAAATGCGTTTCTCAACCATCATTCTCTCCACCCTCACCGCCTTCGCGGCCGCGGCACCCGTCGCCGATACCCTGGAACCCCGCCAGGGCAACGGTAATAACAACAACAATAACAACAAGAACAACATCGACCTCGCAAACCTCAACAACCTTCAAGGCTTCCGCAACCTCGACCTAAACTACCTCCTCGCCCTCAACAACCTCAACCTCCAGGGTCTCGGCCAGCTGGGCCAGGTCAACAACCTCAACCTCGCCGCCTTCCAGAACCTCTTCGCCGCGCAAAACTTTGACCTCAACGCCCTGCTGCAGCTGCAGCAGCTGTCCACCGTGCTGGCGATCCAGCAGCAGGGGGTGTTTGGCAACGTCAACCTGGCGCAGCTGAACCTCGGCGGGCTCAACTTGGGGCTCATCGGCGGGGTTGGGCAGGTGAACTTGGGCCAGTTCATTGACCAGGGCTTAGTTGGGCAGATTAACCAGGTCGTCCAGCAGTCTTCTGGTAAGTTTGATGTGACATATGAACTACGGAATTTGTGGATGCTAATCAGAGATTCCTTTCGCAGTCGTTGTTGTTGGCAAATAAGCACTCTACGTCTGTCCTTAAGGAATGGACGATGTAATGCATTCACGAAATGGGCTACGGACGCCACATTTGGGATATGGTGTTTCAATATGCTTTTTTTCTCTCTCTCTTAATGACTGGCGCATGAAGTTTCCTTGATTCTACAAACTTGGAGGGGACTGGTCGATACAGGTACTAGAACCAAGATGGCATGTATGGATATAGGTACCGTGACAAATTACGAATCTTCATCAAGAACAAGGATTTCTCTGTGTACAACTTTCGGTTGAGCCCGCGGGCTGAGTGAAGAGGGCATTGAAAATTTAATGGAGTTCCTCCGATCAATCCACTTCAAGTCTCTTGACTTGAGTCCAACGTTACGAGGTCCAGTGAGAGGTATCGGAACACGACGCGGTTGAGACTCGAGGCTTGTATTCGATATTTGAGCAACTGACAGGCCTCTTCATGGTCACCAGTACGTGCTGTACTTTGTATACCCAAGTACCGAAGGTCAATGAGCCTCGAGAGCACGACTGCTCACAAGTAGCTTCTATTACACGGACGCCCCAAAGTCGTCGCAAAGACCAAGCAGGTGCTCTTACCAGTCTAGTCAAGAATCTCTGGTCATTTCCCATCCGTTTTCTCAACCATCGAGACCGGCGGTCAATTTAGCCAGGAAAAGCCTCTGCCTGGTTCCTACATTACATTCAACATGAACGGTATGTTTCGTCCTCCTTAGTGCCATATCTCCCACCAAACGCGCAGCTCTGCCCTAAATCTCCCACCAAAAAACGTGTATTACCAACTGATTTTCTTCTTCATGATCTTGATACATCGTCGACTGACTGCCAACCCCCTCGAAATGACCCCCCTCACTCATGTATGATATCAGAGCTTCTGCCTAACCATCTCAAGTGCAACAATAAATGCAGATATCACCTCATGACGCGGACCTCAGAAGGAATTAAATCAAGGTCATTCAGAAGGTCTACAGAACCCAATGCTCCCTGATTTAAGCCGGATACAGAATCCCCACTAGAGATGGAATTTAGCAGCCCTCTTTCGTTGCTTGTGCTAGTCCCCAAAACTCTTCCAAAGTAGGCTAACATTATCCGTTCGCCATCTACAGCTAGAACACGGGTTCTTTACCAAAATGTAACACCATCTCGTCGAGAAGTATCATCATACCGACGATAGAACCCCCCCGTACCGATTCTCAACAAGTGTACTGCCCAATGACTTCGTCGGCACTGTCTCAACAAATCGATTCATTCTACTGTAGGCAAGCCATTCCAGACACCCAAAAAAGCACATACTGGCTATTCACTCTATTGAGTAAGTGGCTGCTCATCGACAAACATTGTACAACAATGGGGAGTCGTAAATATACAGCATTCCTTGAGGTTTAGATCCCTAGTTAAAACGTATCCCAAAGACGAGAGGCAGGGACGTTAAACATACAGCCACACCACAGTCCAAATTTCATTAATCAACCCTGCCCTGTGGGTTTACGAGGCCAACGTCCCATTCAGTATCGCCGTTAAGATGTCGACATCCCCAGACATATTCAGCAGATAACACTCAATCTATATCAAATACATAAGCACCTAAATTATAGAAAGCATAAAGTGCCACCCATCGAGAGCTACTACTACATTCCGCCAGTATCATCGACTCATTCCATCTTCGTAATCGCATGAAGCACTTGGCTTTCAACTTGAAACACGACGTCAGATATCGTACATCAATGATGTTTGAAGCTACACATATCATCTTTATTCCTTGAGGTCGCTCACTATTTGCACAGCACGTGTGCCGCTACCGACACCACTTGAATACCAACGCGACAGCAGTGGTGGCAGTTCTATCGCGTTGATCCAAGATAGCAAATCGGCAAACCAGGCCCCAAGGAGAAATGTGTTCCGTCACCGCTAAGAATCTGCCTTATCGTAATGGTGTTGCTATAATCATATTTTCACGTACACAGTTGTCACCAAAGAGCACGTGTTGATCTCCGTACACACATACACACGCACAAACCTCTACCCGTTGTAAATCATGTACCCATGATCTGATTTCGTTCCACAATCCCACAAAGCACGCACACACATATCTCCGACAAATGGAAACACATACACGCACCCATTCTCCAGAATTGCGCAGCTCCGACCACTAATATCTCCCCCTCTCTCCTCCCAAGTGGAAACCTGCACGAGGGACTCAGGGAGAGACTGCGAGGCGGAGCTGGCCGACCTGCATATGTGGAGAGAAACGGGAACCAAAGAAAAAAAAGAGAGAGTACTCCATAAAGAAGAAAAGAATGCCCACCTAAACACGGGAAGTCTTGGCGGGGAGTCCGAAGATCAATTCCCCCGCCCCTCCATTGACAGTTCCCTTGCGACTGTCGATCTTCGGGTATACAAAGACTTTTTTTTTTGTGGAAACATACGAATTCTCTCAGAGAGAGGAAGGACGGGAGAAATAAAGGAATCAAGACCCGTTGCCCGCATGCCTGCTTAGGAGAACCGGACCGAAGGGGGTGTTGCGAGACAAGGCGGGTATCCTCCGTAGGAGGGGGAGGGTTCCCGATGCTCGGCGTTCTTGGAGTCGGTTACCTCCCCCCTCCCGCCGGAATACGAAATGCATTGGCATCTTGGCAAGTCTCGTTGCGGAGACGAGCATACGAAATCCGAAAGAGACAAAAAAGAAAAAGAAAGTAATTTGGCCCAGAACAGCTCAGAAGGGGGATCTTCTTTGGAACCTGCTGATGCGATGTCGCCATTTGTGGCAGGTCTCCCAAGTCAGGGGAGGTGGCCAGGAATCATTCCTGTTGGGCCAGAAACGAAATTTCGTGGGCGCATTTGTGAGGCTGACATCTTGCGACGGGATGGCGCAGCGCAGGTCTGAGATCCCTGAGTAGTGAGATTTGCTGGAATTGCGATGGTTACTTAGGTTAGGCTCTCAGCTTTGGGAGCTGAAAAGAAAAAAGCCTCGTCAGGTCAGACTTGCAGTAAGCATATGCACCCATTACATGTGCGGCTTGTCGAAGCCTACCAAGGGGCTCACACGACAAACGTGTGTTAGCCAACCTCCCAGGACTTCGTCTCCAAATTTTCCGCTTGTCCTGCAAATTTTGGCTTTGGCGTTGTGATAGAGTCAGCTGAAGTGTGCTGCCGCACGCACGCGGGGGACACGCAGAGCCCGTGAGCCGGCCCCGGGCCGGAAACCTCATTTCGTGGCCGACCGGTCGGGGTGGATCGAGGCGGACGTGATTGGACTACCTCTGGCAGCCCGCACGAACGGAGCTGCAGGTAAGAGGCGGGGGAAAGCTCTAAATTTTCGGGAGAAGCACGCTTTGCATGGGGCCGAGGGGAACCATAACTTGCAGGTGATTATCGGGGTGCATGCATGACAGACTTTAGATGCGGATCTTTGGTGCGTCGACCGACTTCGTAGGTGCTGAGAAACCGATCTCGTACCGGTGCCTGCGGAAGTATTGCGTCCCTCACGGGCAGAGACTTCTTCGCTGGCTGCTCTAGAGTTTGATGACGAGCGGACGAAGGAAGACTTGGCAGACCTCGTTGAGGTTTGGTTACGCGCTCGGACGACGTCCCGTGGGACGGCCATTTGGCAGGCCATTTAGCATTGCCAGCGAGTCCGTCAGGCGCTCTGATGGATATGGCCGCGCCTAATGACCCACTAAGAGCTCCCTCGTGGCTGCGTGGCATCCCGCTTGTGCCGCTTGCGGCGACAAAGCCTCTGTCGGGCGTCTGTTGACCGAAGCCATTACGCCTATGTTAAGCCACTGGCTCAGGTAAGAGTGCTGCGATGAAGGCACGAAGGTTGGGTTAAGGTCATATGCGGCGGTTCAGGGCATCTCCCGCGAATCCAGACCCAACCGCAACGATTCCACCCATCCTAACGTCATGTTAGTCGTGGGTTGTAAAGCCATGGGAGAAACTTGGTCAATTGGGGGAAGGCTCCTGGGAACCGCGAATTTTGCTAGTACTCCATGGACGACATACGCCGGTGAGATTAAGATCGACCCGGAGTTATGGGAGCCGGGAGTGAACGACTACGGCATCGCCATTTTTCGACCCTTGAAAGATCTGGGCCCTGGATACTTGATAACCCCACCCGGAAACAAGCAGACGTCTGGTCGAGACTTTGAGCTGCGAAGCGTTCGCGGCCAACGTCGCTTAATGCCAAGATCCATATGCCGATTTGCATCATAGTGGCGGATATTTCCAAACAAAGAGAACGGAGCTCCAAGATACTCCGTACTGCAAGGCTTTAGCTCTCATACATAGACGCAACCGAGCCATAGGCGAGAAGATGGGCGACTTTGGACCCTGAGCGACTGATGAGTGACGTGGGGAGGCAGGGAATCAATTGTCTCGTAGCGCAGGAGCTCCGGGATGAACAGAGCGTACTATTCTGACACACGACAATCCGCAATACGGCCGTGGTCGACGGCCATGTCCACTGCCACGGCGACACGAATGCACTGATGGTAGGAATTTCTTGCATTCGCAGGAGCAAGGCAGCAGAATTGCGTTGTGGGGAAAGCTGTCTCTGGAGGAAGGCTGTGCGTAGGCTCGTCCATAGTCTGACCGTCCGAGCTCGAGGTGTTAGGAGTCTCGAGGCGGGAAATAGGGGATGATCTGACGTATGGCGCATTGTCGATGGGCCAAACAGGGAGCGGGTTTATGCAGTGACGCGGAGGGTGTTATGCAAACTACCAGCGGATGGTCTCTGGTTTCTGGCGCTAGTAGAGGTTTCCAAGGCAAGGCTAGGACCCCAAACGATGGTGGTCGGGATATGCTGTATGTCAGTGGTTCTCTTGGAGTCTTGGTCGCTCAGTGCTGTAGGGGCTTATGCATGTCAAGTTCAGGTGCTCTTGTGTAGGTAATCCATCGTCCCATCAGTTGCGCGCGTGAGATGGATGGGACGGTGTGGTTTGTGTCTGCATGGTGGTTGCATTCTCGTGAAGCCGGTTGCGGCCAAGTCAGGTATGGATG